TAGCCTCCTGACTGCTCTTGCTGCTTCCACACTTACACTTCCTGTTCTCTGCAAGGCAGCTGGAGTGACCTTTCACTATGTAAGTCATATTATATCCACTCTCTGCTGTAAACCTTTCAATCAGTTTCCATGAATGGTTCTGGGAATAAAGTCCAGCTTCCTTCCCCTGATTCACTTGATCTGGCCCTTCCCACTTGTCTGACCTGTTTTCTAGCCCATGCTCCCTGTCCTTGTCTATACTCCTAATGTGTGGTCTTTCTATTCCTTAAACATGCCTGGCTCAGTCCCATGTTAGAGCAATTCTGCTGGCTCTTCCTCCTGCCTGGACCTTCACACAGCTGGAAATTCTTGCTTTTCAAGTTTTAATTTATTTTTATTTTTATTTTTTGAGACAGAGTTTCACTCTTGTCACCCAGACTGGAGCGCAATGGTACGATCTTGGCTAACTGCAACCTCTGCTTCCTGGATTCAAGCAATTCTCCCACCTCAGCCTCCTGAGTAGCTGGGATTACAGGTGCCTAGCACTGCGTCCAGCTAATTTTTGTATTTTTAATAGAGATGGGGTTTCACCATGTTGGCCAGGCTGGTCTAGAACTCCTGGCCTCAGATGATCCACCCACCGTGGCCTCCCAAAGTGCTGGGATTACAGGCGTGAGTCACCACACCTGGCCACAAGTTGTAATTTAAACATCACTTCCTCATAGAGACTTTCCCTGACAATCCCCTCAATCTCCAGGAGCTCCTCAGTCATTCTCCATCAAAACACCCTATTTCGATTCTCTGAACAGCTCTTATTACTATCTAGTATTCTCCTGTTTGTTATATATATTTATTTTCTCTCTCCTCTGTAGTAGACAGTGTCCAAAAATGGCCACCATCAAATCTTTCTCCCATTGTATACACATGCTGCTTCACTGTTCAAGAGGTCAAGTTTATTTCTCCTTCCATTGAATCTGGACTCGCCTCATGATTTCTTATCACTTGCTTTGACTGACGGAACAAGGCAGAGAGGATGCTGTGCCAGTTCTGGGCCTAACTTTCAAAAGGCTTGTCAACATCTGCTTTTACTCTTGGAGACCAACTACCATGTAGCAAGTCTGACTACCTTGAGACCACCATGCTGTGAGGAAGCCCAAGCTCTCCACATGGAGACAGGCCATGTGGAGGAGTAAAAAATGCTGATGTCTGACAGTATGAATGCTGGAAACCAAGGAATTGAAATGAGAATGTGGGATATTGGAGTTTGTGTGTTTTCAATAAGTTTAGGGATATTGAAGTTTACCATTTCAGTTCCGAGTTTTGAGAATGTACAGGATATAGAGATGGCTGAGGTGGAGAGGAGACAATGGTCACCAAAGTTAAGGAGGTGAACAAATTTGAGGCCAGGATACTGGCTGATTCACACATGAAAATTCAGCTTTTCCAGGGTGATGACAGGTCTGGCAGTGGGGAGAGGCACTGAAAGATTCCGCTTGGGAACTGTGAGAGCCACACAGGGGCAGGTGGTTTCCTTGGAAAGATCTAGTTTTGATGGAGGCAAACAGATTTCAGTGAAGAGTCTGCAGCCATAGAATGGGGAGACTGTTCACAACTGAACAGGGGTCTCAAGGGCAGGAGAGGACAACCCAGAGAAACGGGTTGTCAGGAAAGACCTCAGTGGAAGACAAGTGAGGTGTGGGCGTGGCACCTCACTTGGGCTGAGAGTCGAGCAGAGTGCAGATTCAGTTTCACTGGGGGCAAAAGTGAAGGATGATTCAAATGAGATCACTGGGGAAGTTAACTGGCCTCAAGATTTTGGCTGACCTGGAGAGATAAAAATCTGGTTTTCCTGCCAACACATTCAGAAGAGGGAGAGTGTTTTCTGTTGGCAGGAGAATCAGCAATCGGAGACCTTTGCTCAGGATTCCAAATGAAACTCTGGTGACAGGATGCAGGGCAGGGTATGGGTAGGCCCTCATCAGCAAACACCCTGCTGGCCTCGGGACCTTGACTCTGAGCAGAGGGGAGGAGCAGGCAGCTGAGCCATGTGGTGGACGAGAACCAGGCTTGCCTGCACTGCTCTACTCTGTAAAGCTTTGAAATTCTTAATCATTTACTATCTAATTTAACGTTTAAGAATTAATTGTATTAATTTTGGATAATTTGACATTGTAAACAATTTTTGAACAAGGGCCCTGCATTTTCATTTTTCAGTGGGTTCTGCAATGTATGTAGCTGATCTTGCCACTATACTACTGTGTGCATGGGAAGGTTTCAAGAAACCCATCAAACACAGTGCCCGTAGAGACAAAGACACACAGGACGTATCTGAACAAAAGTAGGTAGTCTGTGCTGGCTGAAACCCATCAGGAAACAGGGGAAAGTTCATTCATTCACTCACTCACTGAAAACTTTGTTAAGAGGGAGGAGGGGAGGTCCTGCTAGTGCCAGGAGCAGGGAGGGAGAAATAAATGACAGTCATGGTCCTCAAGAAGCTCCTGCTCCGTGGAGTAAGAGAAATGTACACAGGAACAATGCAGCAGAATAAGGGCCGGGATGAAAATAAACACCTTCCTTCCATTTCCTCATTTTAGGGGTACATGGTTTGTCGAAAAGACATCCAGTTAAATTAAGGTAGTTCTGTCCTACTACACGGAAAACTTATACATGGTTTCTGTGAATATATGGTTCCCTCCCAGAACACCAAAGAACCCTCCTCAACAGGAAACCTCAGTGGCTTGTTCCCTCTGTGTGAGGATGTGTTGAAAAGAGCAAGGAGTCGATTTGGCAGGAAAAAAAAAAATGGAGTTACTACTGAATGTTGGCATGATCCTGTGGTTGGAAGGTCAAAACAGAAACTGGCAGCACGACTTTTTATTAAAAGTCCACTTGGAGAGCTCACATGAGATTCTTTGATCTTATAGGTCAGGGCACTGAGGCTTTAGGGCTCCTGAGTTTATTTGGTAGTGAGGCTGCTGGGTTTCTGAATAAAGACCTGTGGTTAGAGTGTGATTTCCTGCCCTGCTTTTTGCATTACAGGCGTGGTCTGCCTCACTCAGCCAGTCTCAAGAGAGAGAGGAACTGTGGCTGCAGTTTCCCGAATTATCCAAATTAGAACTCAAAAGAAGAGAGTTCTGAGGCCCAGCAACTCTGAGAAAATCCTGAAAAACCTTGTGATAAAAAGGTACATCTTTCCTTAAAGACAGAGCACTATGTCAATAGAACTGAGCCCTGAAGCTAAGTGAATGAAGGGCTTGAGAGTTGCTCTCAATGGTGAAGATAAAATAGGTATTTAACCTTATGAATGGTGGCATTTTAGCCCAGAAGAGTGGAGGGGACCTGCGTTTCCTTTGCACCCATTGCACTTAATACTTAGAGAGAGTAAGGCCAGCCCTAAAGTTCAAAGGAGACCCATCCATTTCCAAAAGGCTACTTTAAAAAAAATTTTTTTTTTTTTGAGACGGAGTCTCACTCTGTCGCCCAGGCTGGAGTACAATGGTGCGATCTCAGCTCACTGCAACCTCCACCTCTCGGGTTCAAGTGATTCTTCTGCCTCAGCCTCCTGAGTAGCTGGGACTACAGACGTGTGCCACCACACCTGGCTAATTTTTTTTGTATTTTTAGTAGAGACGGGGTTTCACCATATTGACCAGACTGGTCTCGAACTCCTTACCTTGTGATCCACCCGCGTTGGCCTCCCAGAGTGCTGGGATTACAGGTGTGAGCCACCATGCCCGGCCAAAAAATGTTTTTAACTGAAAAAAAGATATGCTAATTGTAGAAAAAGCATAAAACTGCAAGAAAGAGATAATTTTTAAAAGCCATCTTTAGTCCTACTACCAGAAATAATCACTGTTTTTTGGTATATTTCCGAATTTTCTTCTTTGCATGCGTATACATATATAAATAGTTATGGGCTCATACCATCCATGTTGCTTTGTTACTCTGTTTCATGTAATACTAAATCGTGAAATAGTTTCATGTCAATAAATATACTTAAATGATATTAAGTGCCTAAATATTCCTTTGCAGAGTTGTATTATTATTTATTTAATGAATTGTCTATTATTGGAGATTAATGTTGTTTATAATTTTTTTTAAATTTTATTAGAGATTGGGTCTTGCTATGTTGACCAGGCTGTTCTCAAACTCCTGGCCTCAAGCAATCCTCTTATCTCTGCCTTCCAAAGTACTGGGATTACAGGTGTGAGCTACCATGTCTGGTCTGTTTATAATTTTCAGTGATTATTCTTAATTATTTCCTTAGTATATGTTCCAAAGAATTTAATTGCTAGGTCAAAGCTTATGACCTTTTAAAGGATTGTGATAGTGTATCGGTCAGACAGGCTAAATGTTGTAACAGACATAGCCAAAATCTCAGTGGCTTAACACAATAAAGATGTATTTCTCTTTTATGTCACAGTTCAACACAAGTCATTGGTTGGGAGTAGAAGGCACTCTGCATGGTCGTCTGGAACCAGGGTTTGCCCACCTGATGGGTCTCCATTTGCCCCGGCCTTGGACTTCTCCACTGGATGCTCTGATTTCACTTGATAGGTAAAGGGAGAGAGAGAGAGCATGGAGAATTGCACAGGTAGTTTCAGGGTCAGGCCTGATGGTGACTCACATCACTTCCTCTGCCCACCTTCCAATTGTCCAGAACTCAGTCACATGACTGCTCCTAACTGCAAGGAAGGCTGGGAAGTATAGTCTTCCTGAGTGTCCAGGAGGAAAACAAGAGTGTAAGGGACCCAGAACAAGCTTTGTCTCTGCCTCAAACATAACCAACTTACCAATCAGCAATGTTTTTCCAGTTATGTATGTATATATGTATGTATGTATGTATGTATGTATGTATTTAGAGACAGAGTCTCATTCTGTTACCCGGGCTGGAGTGCAGTGGTGTAATCTCGGCTCACTGCAATCTCTGCCTCCCGGGTTCAAGTGATTCTCTACTCTAAGCCTCCCGAGTAGCTGGGATTACAGGTGCACGCCACCACACCCAGCTAATTTTTGTATTTTTAGTAGAGACGGGGTTTCACCATGTTAACCAAGCTGGTCTCGAACTTCTGGCCTCAGTTGATTCCCCAACTCAGTTTTTCCAGTTTATATTCCCACCAGCAGGGTACGAGGATTCCTATTTCCCTACTTCCTCATTAATTAAGGGGATGACACTCTTTCCGTTGTTTTTATAGATCTGCACGGAATAATGCAGCTTCTCTGCATGACTGGAGTTTGTTTTGTCTTTGAAGATAATCTCACTAGGATCCAGACCATACCTGCTGGAGAGTCAGGACTCTGGATTTCTGACTGTTTTGAGGACAGCTACTCTCATCCTAGGCTGATCTGAGTTTCTGGGTCTTTCTCTGCCTGTTCTTTCCTCTCCCCTTCCCTTCTCTGCTGCAGAAAGTGTTTTATGTGGGTGTCAGCAACATCAGGACCTCTCAAACCCCTTGCCCCAGTATCATCCCTGAATGCAAAACTCACTTAGAGGCCTAGGGAAGAGATTAGAGCTCTGCTTTTCCTCTGCCACCTCAGGTGTATTCTAGCTTACAAGACACTTTCACAGAAAAAAAATTCAGGGAATGGAATGGGAAGGCAAAAATAGCTGCTTGATGCTGACTTGGCACATTGACTTCGACCAAATCACCCAGCGCCTCGTCCTTAGCACTCTGGTGACCACAGAATAATCCTCGCGCAGTGAGTAGTGGAAGTCAGGAGGAGTAAACTGCCTAGATGTCATGAAGGGAAAGCAATAGACTTGTGCAAAGTCTATTCTTGTCCGTTTCCCTGTGAATCCAGGTTGCTGAACATCGGCCGATGTCTGAGCTGTGGTTTCCTCCTGGTTTTGAAATTTAGTTACTAGAAGACAATGCTTTTGAATGGCTTCTTTGCCATGACTTTCACAGGTCCTGCTGGCTGTTGCCTAATGAATGTCTGATAGGCCTAGCCCCTTGGCAAAGCAATGTTTTATTTGCAAAATTATGCTTGTCCAGTGCCTCCTGGGAACTGAAAGCCTGGCATCAGCAGAGGAACGCAAACCGGGCAAATCACGGATCTCCAAGGCTTGCATTGCTTGGGGGCCATGGCACACAGCACTGCTAAAAGCCTAGGACAATCTGTGTGTTTTAGGAGCAAACCGATGCCTCGCACTTCTAAACTGTATCCTTTGCTCCCTCCCTGAGAGGCAGCCGTGTGCTCTGGGCTTCCTAGGTAAGTGACTCACACGAACTATAAGCCTGGCTTACGACCTAGAAAAGGAAACAGGAAGTGGCTTAGAGACATAAAGAGCACAGCCCAGGAGGGGCTGCCATGGAATTCTCCTTAGGTGAGAAGGGGTCCAATGGGCAGAGGGGCAACTTGGCATCCTCTCTTTCCCCGCGTTACCACAATGCCCTTGGCAGGGACCATTTGATGGGGAGTCGGATGTCTTCCTGGGGGTGGTGAACAGGGGTGAGGGAGGGGGAACTGCTGCTGGGTCAGTAGCTCCTCTCCAGAGTGAGCCCATCAGTGGAATGCCATGCCCCTTCTCTATCCCATCTTTGCAAGTGGGCTTGGGTTCTTGGGATGAGTTTCATCAGGCCTTATACATGCAGACTGTGAAGAGGTGCCTCCAACAAGAAAAACCAGTCTCTGGCAGGTCCTCTAAGGGCAGGGATTCTGGAGAGGCCGCCCTGTCCTCAGCTTGGCCCTGGCACATTCTGGCTGCAGGTAAGATGGCTGCAGCAGAGGGAGGGGAGGGGCCTCCCTGTTGATGGAGACCACCATGCAGCGCTTCACTATGCTTCCCTTTCTGGCTCTCCCAGGGAGGAAGGGTGACTGGTGGCTGGCCGCTGGCGGCAGGGCTTGTGGAGGCTCAGTCCTGGGCCTGGTCCTGCTTCTCTTAGAGGTGGCTGGTTGTGCAATGGCATCCCGGCTGCTCCTCTTGGAGCCCCATGACCACAATTCCAGGCTCCACCCCCATTTCTCACCACCCCCAGTGGTGAGAAATGGAATTTTTTGTTTTGTGTTTTTATGCTGTTCCCATAACACCCAGCACCTATCCCCAAGGATGAGTCCTGAAGACCCGTAGCCATGGCAGGGCAGGGCCTAGATACTGAAGGAGGGTCCCACTCAGAGGCCAGTTCCACCCACTGCAAAACGCCCTCTGAGGACCCTCACTAGACCAGTTCCTCAAAGTGCGGTCCGCAGGCTGCCATCAGCAGAATCATGGGGTGAGAAAGGGGCTGGTAAAAACACGGGTTCTTGGCCCCCTCTGCAGACCTCCAGAATCTAACCCTCTCAGGAAAAGTCCTGGAAATCTGTGTGTCTAGAAGCACTTTCTTCTCCAGGTTGGTCAGCTCGGAAATGTCTAAATACTTTTCTCAATACCAATCCCGGTCTCATTTATTATCCTTCTCATGAAAATGATTTGCTTCCTTTCAACCTTGTATGACCTCTGAAAATATGACCTAAAGCAGAGGGTCATATTTTCTTATGCACTCACATAAGAAACATCACCTGTGGCCTTCATTGGCAAGCATGGATTGCTGTTTTCAATCAGGGGCTTTGAAGGAAGACACTTTTGATCATCGGGCTGCCTCTGTCTGCTTTTTCACTGAGTTGTCACTATTAAATGCCCTTCCCTGGCTTTGCCTTCTCTCTTCTCCACCAGAAAATGGGCCTGCTGCTCTAAGAGGTTGGACTCTTGGAGTCCTCTAGCACAGGGGCCATGAAAATCAATGACTTCCTTGTTTGCTGATGGAGCAGAGGTAGAATCTCTTGGTGTTTCCACAGAGAAAACGCTGGCTGTGAAGAGCCGAGAAAGATGACATGATGAAGCCATCAGGGGAGGCACCAAACATCCTCAACTCTGCTCACCTATGGTTTTCTCCAGCCCTCCCAGAGCTCCTCCTGCGTGAGTAATGCAGTGTGTGCTGGTCAAGTGTCTCACTGAAAAAAGAAAGAAATCCTGATTTGCAGCATTGGCCAATTTCTGTAGTGTAAATACTCCCCCCATGGCAGATTTCAGGTTACCAAGGGTTTCACAACTGGTTCACAAGTCTTGACTGTAATGACCAGCTCATGCAACTCCAGCACCTCATCATCTCCGCCCTGTCCCAGAAAATCCCCACATCACACCCAGGCTGAATATCACTTTCAGCTTCTCAGTCAGAAGGAGAAGTGGCTAAATATACCAGGATGGTAATGACTAAGTATCAGAATGGTGAGTGTGGAGGGTCAGGATGTCTGCCAAATTGGAGATGACTCTTCACTTCTCAATCTTGGTGTCTCATCTGGGGAAGTTGGAGGGAGACATGCACAGCTTCTCATGAACAGTCCTGGAAGCCCTTACCCCAAGGCCTCACGGGGCTCTCTCCAGGGCTTGCTCTTTCTCACTCTCTACTTTAAAAGCCTATGATTCATTGCCAGAGAACAGAAGGCTCCAGCCTAATGGGCCAAGTTGCAAACGGCGGGATTGGGGGCTGTCTAGACTCTGGGTCCTGCCTTTTGTCTTGGCTGGTGTCAAAATGAACTCTTTAAAAACTGGCCTCAGGAAGATTCCCCATCGAACAACCAAAGACTGAACAGCCTGGACTGACCTTTTTCTAATTTTTAGGGGTCTTGTGAACAGGAGTCAGGTGGGCAGGCAGCTCTTGTAAAGCTGAGTGTAACCAAATTTGTCCATAGCCTGTGACAGCAAAGATCACAAAACTCTTCCTTCCCCTTTAGGGCCTGGGAGTGACGCCGAGTGACGCCAAACCGAGGGGAGAATGTTGACCTATTTTATCTCCCAAACATTGGGCAGTCAGTTGCATTCGCAGATTTAAAATCCACCCACACTGCTGCAGTTTCTGTTCTCCTGCCCCCCAGGCATACTTCTGGCTGGAGCTGGTTTTGTAAAGTGGAGTTGGCCGTGGGTGTGGGAGTCCTCCTCGGAGAGCCTGGTCTGACAGCCCCAGTCCACAGCCCTCCCATGGGCTTTTGGGCTGCTCCAGTCCTGGCAGGTGCACAGCACAGGGGAATCTGGTTTTGTCCTGGTCTCAGCTGGGGAAGTCTAGTTAAAGAAAGAAAAGGTCAGCTGGGTGCAGTGGCTCACACCTGTAATCTCAGCACTTTGGGAGGCTGAGATGGGCAGATCATGAGGCCAGGAGTTTGAGACCAGCCTGGCCAACATGGTGAAACCCTGTCTCTACTAAAAATACAAAAATTAGCTGGGCATGGTGGCGGATGCTTGTAATGCCAGCTACTCGGGAGGCTGAGGCAGGAGAATCGCTTGAAACCGGAAGGTAGAGGTTGCAGTGAGCTGAGGTCCCACCACTGCACTCCAACCTGGGCAACAAGAGTGAAAATCTGTCTCAAAAAAAAAAGATCTCGCTGGGAATGGCCTTAAATCTGGGGTCTCTGTAATATTCTAATCACTCAATCACTTAACAAATATTTATTGAGGGCCTACTAGGTGCCACACATTGGAAGACAGTGGAGGGTGAAGCAGAGTCTGCCCTCAGGGAGCTTACAGTTTAGATTACAGGCAAGACAGCACTTACACACGTAATTCCAGATGAGTCAATAATGACAGGGGTGCAGAGGCTTTGAAGCAGAAGCATAAGGTGCAATGGGAACATAAAACAGGGAAGCCTAATGCAGACTAAGGGGCCTGAGGAGGGTTCCTCGAGAAAGTGAGGTTGAAGCTGAGAACCTGAGGGGTGGTTTGCATGCAGTACAATTGAAGGTTGAAAGGGAAGATCCTCCAATGCACAAAGAATTTATGCTGCAGAAACATTCTCTTCCTGAGGATATATTTGGGAATGTAGGTAGAAATTAACTGTCTTGCCTTCATATACAGTGTAGTGGAGACCACTGTGGATCTCCAACTACTTGTCTTTTCTTAGTAACAAGTCCCCAGTTTTTGCTAGGTACATAGCTACCCAGAGAAAAAATTATGTGGCCACCTTACTATGTTTCGGCCAATGAGATGTCAGCAGAGGTAATGTGCGGGGCCTCTGAAAAGGCTCTTTTCTGCTACCTGGTACTGGCTGGAGGCTGAAAAGCCATTAGGGACCATGAAGAGACATGCTAAGGTTGGAGAGTCAGCGTATTACATGGAGCCTCCTTCTCTGATGGCCATGGGCTGTGATACGAGCCCTGGATTGCCTATTTCCCGACTTCTTTTGTAAAAGGGAGAAATAAAGGTCAATTTTTTAAAAAGCGTCTATTATTTTGACATTTTCTGTCATACACAACCAAATAGAATCCTAACTACTATACATGGCTTATTTTCAGCTTAATGAAAAGATCATTGTTCTGCACTACACATAAATTACCTATTTTATAGAAAAGTCTGTGATTACAATATCTATTTTCCCAGCCTCCTTCTTCACCTCCTTGATCCCCTTATCATCCCCTCGGCCCTGCACCTCCTCTCTTTCCTGACTCCCACACCACAGCTAGGCCTGCCTTCTGTGCTTTTGCCTCCAGGAATGAACGAGACTCACAGCCCGAAAGTTCTCCAAGCCTCGGCTACCTTCCCTCAGTGGCTGCCCTGGCAAAGGTCCTGCAGCACGGAATCACACAAAGTCCAGCAAAGCAACTGGTCTTTCCTGCCCCTTCTCATCCTTCCCAAGAAAGTGTGAAGAGTTAGAATACTCAGGCAGAGCTGAAAAAAGCGCACCCTTTTAGAGAAACCACAAGAATGATTGGAGGTGCTTTAATTGAACTGCCCTGCCTTGGGGTTTTCAATCTATGCAGAATTTAATGGATCTGTTTCCCCAGTCTCTGGCTAACCAAATCCAAGACATCAAGAGTCAAGGGGCGAAGGTCAGCATGTTTAGTTACAAACCTTTGGGGCTGTCTGGGGTGATTGCAGGCCTCAGCATGCTGGCTTTGGGTGGGATGAGGCTGGGGTTGCATAGAATTCTGTCCCCCCTGCCCCTGCCTCAAAAAAACTTGAAGGCTTAAACCCCAGTACCTCAGACCATGGCCTTATTTGGAGATAGTCTTTACAGAGGTAATCAAGCTAAACCGTGGTCATTAAGGTCAGCCCTAATCTAATCTAACTCCTGTCCTTATGAAAAGGGGAAATTTGGCTGGGCGCGGTGGCAGCTCGCGCCTGTAATCCCATGACTTTGGGAGGCCAAGGGGGGTGGATCACAAGGTCAGGAGTTTGAGACCAGCCTGGCCAATATGGTGAAACCCCATCTCTACTAAAAATACAAAAATTATCCAGGCGTGGTGGTGCGCGCCTGTAGTCCCAGCTACTTGGCAGGCCGAGGCAGAAGAACCGGGGAAGCAGAGGTAGCAGTGAGCCGAGATCGCGCCACTGCACTCCAGCCTGGATGACAGGTGAGACTCTGTCTCAAAAAAAAAAAGAAAGAAAAAAAGAAAAGGGGAAAGGTGGGGACAGACACATCCACAGTGAGAACAGCATGTGAGATGCAGGCAGAGGTCAGGGTGAAGCTTCAGCAAGCCGAGGAATACCAGAGATTGCCAGCAAACCACCAGAAGCATGGGAGAGGCATCCAACAGATTCTGCCTCTCAGCCCTCAGGGAAGCCAACCCCGCTGACATCTTGGTCTTGCACTTCTAGCCTCTAGAACTCTGAGAAGACAAATTTCTGTTGGTTATGTCACCTAGTTTGTGATACCTTGTGGGGGTAGCCCTAGCAAACTCAGGCAAGGTCCTTCAAGTACCAAAGAATGGAGGAGTTTGGTGACAGCCGCTGGTCTCAGGCGATTTCCTTGCAGCCTCACATCGGGACGTGAAGACATGGGGAGCAGCTGGCCTCCTCTATTTTTCTGTAGCTGATGGAAAGTGAAAAAAAAAAAAAAAAGCACAAACAGCCTCATGGCCTCGAAACGCTGCATCCCTTCAAGCATCAGGTGTTTCTCTTTCAGAAAGGTTCTTTGCACCGGTAACAACTATGTAAATAGTGCTTGCTAATTTGCCAGGAACTATTGTAAGTGCTTTAATATTCTAATTCCTTTTGTTATTGTGACAGAGGAGGAAACTGAGGCACAGAGAGGTTAAGCAAGTTACTTAAGGTTAGCAGCTAATATGTACAGAAGGTGAAATTTGGGGTTTTTTGTTTGTTTATTTGTGTAGAGCTGGGGTCTCGCTATGTTGCCCAGGCTGGTCTTGAACTCCTGGCCTCAAGCAATCCTCCCATTTCAGCTTCCCAAAGTGCTGGAATTGCAGGTGTGACTGCACCCAGCTGAAAAGGTGGGGTTTGAACCCAAACAGACTCCCTCCAGAGTCCACACATTTAACCACGACATCTTTAAGTGCAGGAGCTGGAGTCCATCCGATCCTGTGTTGGACACAGTAGTTCCTGATTGAGATTGGTGTGCTGAGTGAAAGCCATTTCCAAGCCATGTCATTTGCCACAGTGCGTGTGTGTGTGTGTGTGTGTGTGTTTTAACCCCTTGTGTCTATCACTGGTGGCTGGTGGCTGGTGGCTGGTGGCTGCCCCAGTCAGGGCTACCTTGAAACAGCAGTCACCCCAAAGCAGCAGCTTCCCCTCTCTTCTCATGCTCATTTTCTGGAACTCTTACCTGGCCTGGCTGGGCCAGAACTATCCCCTGCATATTCCCCTCAGTAGAGGAGCTCAACGAGTCCTCTCTCCACCTGCAGGCAACCAGGGTATCCTGACAGAGACCACATCCTTCAGAAAGGCCTTTTCTGCTCACTTCCTGGGTGTCATGGTACACAAGATTACGTCCCAGAAAGCATGACTGACACTGACTGGCAAGGTCTGTCTGAGTATCTATCTATCTATCTATCTATCTATCTATCTATCTATCTATCTATCATCTATCTATCTATCATCTGTCTATCTATCATCTATCTATCTATCAATCATCTATCTATCTATCTATCATCTATCTATCATTTATCTATCAATCATCTATCTATCTATCATCTATCTATCTATCTATCTATCATCTATCTATCAATCATCTATCTATCTATCTATCATCTATCTATCTATCATCTATCTATCATCTATCTATCAATCATCTATCTATCTATCATCTATCTATCATCCATCTATCTATCTATCTATCTATCTATCTATCTATCTATCTGTCTATCCATCCATCTAATCTTTTTTTTTCCCTTTTCCTGGCAGAAAATCTAAATGTCTAAATGGGTAGGCATCCTTGAACTTATGAACAGTCTTTGCAAACCCCAACTAAACCCTTTCTTTGTTGAATGATTCTTGCATGTGCACAAATGCATACGTGAAAAAACTTTGTATGTGATCTCTCCTGCCCGGATTCCGTCCACCTCACCCGCTGCTTGGTTTCTGCTTGTGGAATTGGAAGTCCGCAGGGATGGGGGAAGAAGGTCAAAGCATGTCCACAGGCTCTGCAAAAGCCAGCCACTGGGCCAAGCTGCCACCATCCGGCTCCTCCCACTGCCTACTTTACCCATGTCACCTCACAAGGGGCTAAGCTAAGGTTGCTTTGGGCATGGGTGGGGCTTTTTTTTTTTCTTTGAGACCATGTCTCACTCTGTCTCCCAGACTAGAGTGCAGTGGCACAATCACAGCTCATGGCAGCCTCACCCCAGGCTCAAGTGATCCTCTCACCCAAGCCTCCTGAGTAGCGAGGACCACAGGTATGCACCACCGCACCTGGCTAACTTTAAAAACTTTTCGTGGAGATGGGGTTTCACTATGTAGCCCAGGTTAGTTTGGAACTCCTGGGTTCAAGCAGTCATCCCACCTTGGCCTCCAAAGTGCTGGGATTACAGATGTGAGCCACCACGCCCAGCCTACATGGGGCATTTTGTTAAACAGAAATGAAGACTCCGTTGCTACTAAGCATCTGTGCCACTTGTTCTGTGACAGCTCTTCATTTTTACTGTTTTATTCCTTACCATAACCGGATGTTAACCCCATTTTTAAGAGGCTGCATTTGAGGCCTAGCAATTTACTCTGGGGAACTTGAATGAGAGGCTTGGAGCCTGGGCTACAGCAATTCTGAAAAGTCCACTCCATGCCCACGATCCGCCATGTCAGTTACGGAGGCCCCAGAAATGTGTGCTAAGTCAGCATGGAGACTGTTTTCTGGGTAAGGACATTTGCATTTTCTCTTTTGTTTTTTCAACAATGAAAATGCTTTGAGTTGATTTTCTAGACTTGGTAACAAAGAGGATGATGACAATAATGATGCAAAAGTACGTGAAATTGGGCTGGGCATGGTAGTTCATGCCTGTAGTCCCAACACTTTGGGTGGCCAAGGTGGGAGGATCACTTGAGGTCAGGAGTTCGAGACCAGCATGATCAACATGGTGAAACCCCGTCTCTACTGAAAAAATACAAAAATTAGCCGGGTGTGGTGGTGGTGTGCACCTGTAACCCCAGATACTCAGGAGGCTGAGGCAGGAGAATCGCTTGAACCCGGGAGGCAGAGGTTGCAGTGACCAGAGATCACACCACTGCACTCCAGCCTGGCAACAGAGTGAGACCCTGTCTCAAAAAAAAAAAAAAAAAAGGATGTGAAATTGGTGGTAAATCATTTACTGGGGCCTATGCTGTGGTAGACTCATGGACAATACAAACATGAGCCTTGCTTTTTAGGAGCCTAAAGTCTGAATGGGAAGGTCAACCTCTATGTGAAGCAAGTGGACAACTGAGCTTTCTCTAAACTGAAAGTGGCTTTACTGAGGATGTGCTGATCTTAAGGACAGAGATCCCTCCACTTGTCTCAAGGAAGGAGGGACTTAACGTAGGAGTGCACGTGGTTGGTGCTGTCATGGAGACAGCTCCGAGGCCTGGGGAGGCCTCTCCACCTCACCCCTCCCTCAGGATCCCTGCTCTCTCTGTGCATCTGTCCCCTGCTCCTGTCTCTAATGATGCTTCCTCTGCTCATTCAGCTCCTGTTCTCTCCTAATCTCAACTTACATGTGACTTCACTAGCCGGGATTCTGTCTCCACCTCTAGACATCCTTTCATCTTCAACTACTACCCTAAGTACTTCATTCTTTCGGTATTTGGTAGTTCTAATTCCCAGGAGAGGCTCTGATTGGCTCAGCTCCTAGGCCTCTGTAAGCCTGTGTTTTAGCAATCCTTGGTCACTTGTCCCTCCTGACAGTCCAGTCAGATGTGGCCAGGAATAATCACAAGATCACCTAAAGGGCTCTGGGCAGCTAGACACCTAAAACAAGTCCAGGATGGGGGTCCCTGATGACAATCTCAACTAAAGGTCATAGGAAACAGAATCGCTCTGAGCCAGAGACAGTAGACTTCACAGGGCACTGAGATGGCCAGGACTTCAACACACAGCATTTACATCATAGGAGAGAAGAGGAAGCTGACAGGCAGGAATGGCTGTGGTGGTAGACTGTTGCAGTTTTCAAAATTATTTGCTTCCCTTCCCCATGGAAGGATTCTACATTCCTACCCAGATAATATCACACTTGGTAGTGTGAAACTTTTACCAATGAAATGTGAGTAGAAGGGATGTATGTCATTTTAGGCAAAAGCTTTGATAACCATTGCATGGTTCACCATGTTCTCCTTTCCCTCTGCCACAAGAACAACACAGTCCCACATAGGGACTGCTCCATCTGCTCGGGTCCCAGAATGGAAACAACCTGGGGCAGAATCAGAGCTCAATCTTGACAGTCCATGATGGATACATGATGCGAATAAGTCAATCTTTGTTGTGTGAAGCCACTGAGATTTTGGGCTCCTTTGTTACCGTAGCATAACCTAGCCTATCCTGACTGAGACAAGGAATATGTTGTGTTTTTAGTATATCAGATAAATGGGAGAGAAGGATGGCAGTGAAGCGGTAATGAGAAGTGGGACCAGGAATCCAGGTGTCAGGGAGGAAGACATGAAGCAGGCAACGAGAAGATCTGGAAAGAAGGAGGAGACTCTGAGAGCCATTGTAAAGGAAGATGTAGCCGGTTTTGGTAACAGGTTGTGTGTTATTCTCCTTGAGCTGTGATTATGGTTTGGCTGTGTCCCCACCCAAATCTCATCTTGAATTCCCACATGTTGTGGGAGGGACCTGGTTGGGGGTGATTGAATCATGGGGACAGGTCTTTCCCGTGCTGTTCTTGTGATAGTGAATAAATCTCATGTTTTAAAAAGGGGAGTTTCCCTGAACAAGCCCTCTTTCCTTCTCTGCCACCGTGTGAGATGTGCCTTTCACCTTCTGCCATGATTGTGAGGCCTTCCACATGGAACTGTGAGTCCAATAAACCTCTTTCTTTTGTAAATTGCCCAGGCTCAGCTATGTCTTTACCAGCAGTATGAAAATGGACTAATACAAGCTGCCATCACAAAATGCTCTAGATTGGGTGGCTTAGACAACCGACACTTATATTCTCACAGTCCTGAGAACTGGATATCTGAGATCAAGATGCTGCTGGCAGAATGGGTTTCTGGTGAGTTCTCTCTTCCCGTCTTGAATACAGCTACCATCTTGCTGTGTCCTCACATGGCCTTTCCTCTGTGTGTATAAAGAAAGAGAGAGACAGATTTTTGGTATCTCTTTCTGATCTTATAAGGAAACCAGTCCTGGCCAGGCGCCATGGTTCACACCTGTAATCTTAGCACCTTAGGAGGCTGAGGTGGGAGGCCAGGAGTTCGAGATCAGCCTGCGCAACATAGTGAGACCCTGTCTCTACAAAAAATAAAAATTAGCCAGGCATGGTGGCATATGTCTGTAGTCTCAGCTACTGGGGAGGCTGAGGCAGGAGAATTGCTTGAACCCAGGAGGTGAAGGTTGCAGTGAGCCGAGATAGTGACACTGCACTCCAGCCTGCATGACAGAGAAAGACCCTATCTCAAAATAAATAAATCAGCCTTTTTTAAAAAAAGGGACACCAGTCTTATCAGATTAGGACACAGTCCTTATGACCTCATTTAGCCTTACTTCCTCCCTTAAAGGCCCTGTCTCTAAATATAGTCACATTGAGGGTAAGGGCTTCAATATACGCATTTTGTGGGGGCAATTCAGACCAGAAAAGGTTGAAATAGGGAACAAAAGAGAGTAAAGGATGAAAAAAGCTCCTAATTTACTACTTTGCCATAGTTGGGAGTTGGAAGCACTCTGAGGGGAAGATTTGCTTTTAGACCAAAGGAATCAGTGGTGGGGTGGTCGTGTAGCTTGTGATTTCCCGCAGGCACTAGGGATTGGGCTCAGGGTTAGAGAAAGAGATCTGGGTGAGGCAGACTATGGAAACTGTGTTTTGGTTTGTAAATATATCCAAACAGGTTGTGAGAAATGGAGCAGAAGCACCACACTTGAGGAGGGAGGCCACGAAGAGGACCCTCAATCCTAGATGGACAGAAGGAAGAGGAGGGAATGAAAACAAAGATCTTCCAACGGCATCACTCCACTGCCTGGGGCAGACCCTGGAATGAGTTGCTCTGCCACCTGAGATCGCTGGACAGAGCCCCCATCATCCGGGAGAGCAGCCAGACAGGCAGGCCCAGGACAAGGGCTCGCGTGGCATGGGGCACAGGGCAAGGCTCCCTTAGGTTGTTAATGTGGTGGGTCCAGCACAACTAAATGCAACTCAGAGATTATTTATTTTTTCAGTGTTCAAACCTTATTCATACTCTTGTTAAAATTTTACTCAAAAAGGCAGTGCGTGGTGTGGCTCATGCCTGTAATCCCAGCACTTTGAGAGGCTGAAGTGGGCAGATCACTTAAGCCCAGGAGATTGAGACCAGCCTGGGTAACATAGACCCCATCTCTAGTTTTGAAAAATAAAATTAAGTAAAAAAGAAGAAAAAGTTTGGCCGGGCGCGGTGGCTCAAACCTGTAATCCCAGCACTTTGGGAGGCCAAGGCAGGCGGATCACGAGGTCACAAGATCGAGAGCAGCCTGATCAACATGGTGAAACCCCGTTTCTACTAAAAATACAGAAATTAGCTGGGTGTGGTGGCACGTGCCTGTAATCCCAGTTAGTTGGGAGGCTGAGGCAGGAGAATTGCTTGAACCCGGGAAGCGGAGGTTGCAGTGAGCCGAGATCGCGCCACTGCACTCCAGCCTGGTGACAGAGTGAGACTCTGTCTCAAAAAAAAAAGAAGAAAAAATTCACACAAAAAATCCATGAGGTAGGTGTCATCTCCATTGTAGAGAACAGAAGATCGGAGAAGCAAGGGAACTCTCCTGGGGTGAACAGCTCAAGTGACTGAGGCAGGTCTCTTACCACTGTCACGAGCGTCTGTGTGAAGAGAGTCCACCAACAGGCTTTGTGTGAGCAACAAGGCTGTTTATTTCACCTGGGTGCAGGCAAACTGAGTCGGAAAAAGGAGTCAGCAAAGGGAGATAGGGGTGGGGCAGTTTGATGGGATTTGGGTAGGTAGTGGAAAATTACAGTTAAAGGTGGTTATCTCTTGCGGGCAGAGGCGGGGGTCAAAAGGTCCAGGGTGGGGAGATCACGAGATTCATTGTCCAGCCAGCCGGGGAAGTGTCACAAGGTCGATTGATTAGTTGGGGTGGGGCAGAAACAAATCACAATGGTGGAATGTCACCTTTTGTGGTTCTTCAGTTGCTCCAGGCCATCTGGATGTATACGTGCAGGTCACAGGGGTTATGATGGCTTAACTTGGGCTCAGAGGCCTGACAACCACCACATTGCCTTTGGGATTCCACCTGCATCTTCCCTTGGAGAAGTCCCCCATGTGGAGATTTTGCAGGTTTTAGCTCAAACACAGTTCAAGGCAAGGAGCAAGAAACCACTTGAAGTGATCATTTCCCAGCTCTGAGGGTCTCTTTCCTGTGAGTTTGGTCACAGTTTAGCCTCTGTCCTTGGAAGCTTCCCAGAAACAAGACCAAGACTATCTTTAATATTAAGGGGAAAACAGGGCTTTTGCACTAAGAAAGATCTGCATTGCTTTTGAAACTCCTAAAGTACACATTTGTGTTTTCTCTTGCTTGGAGAGGTCATCCAAGAACTGGCCACTCCCTGACATTTCTATGGAATCTCTTTTTCTGGAATGGTCTTCCCAGATCCTCTGGATTCCAAAAAAGCACATCCGGAAGTTCCCATGGCAAGGTTCTCATGGTAGTAACAGCGTGTACATAATTCTGTTTAATACTCCTTGCTGCTATGTGAGACGCACAATTGCGCCCATTGTTCCCGTTGGCAGAAACTGACTTCTGGCTCCAACTTCTTCATTTTTTCTACTTCTACTTCTGCTTCTACCAAGGAACAGCTGGAGAGATGAGGTTGTTGGCTCACACACAATAGGCCCCAAAAGCGCCTCCAGTCCTCCCCAAGCTGTGTGAAATTAACTCAGCATTGCTTTGTATAGTAAGACATACTGGCATCGCTGAGTGAACGCCTAAGCAGCTCTCACTGTCTCCACCTGGCCTGAGAGGTCCAGCAAGTGCTAACGCTCTGGTGTGTCTGGTTCCAGGATACTCAACTGAAATACCCCTGCTGAAAGGATGGTAAAGCTGTATTCTTGTTGGATATTTAAAACAAGAAGCTGTGAAGTTTCCCAAAGGCTCTGAATCTACACTTCAAGGTCAAGAAAAAAAAGCATTAACCTAGTTTAGCTGTATTTTAGGAAGCAGATGCTGGGCACCTGAAAGGCCAAATTTTGCTTCTAGCTACAGGTTTTCTGCAGAGAAAACAAGACAGAGCTCAACTTAGGGCACATAGATGAGCAGGATAGAGGATGTTGCTTAAGGACCCTGCAGCTCTGGACCCTCCAATGACTAAGTGTGTCAGAAAGAGCACATGTGACCGTGTTCTGTGGAATGTGTGCATTTGTAGGATGCTTTCTGCACAGGCACTTTTCAAAGAGCTTTCTCTTTGGAGGTGTGTGTGGGGCAGACAGGATTGGACCAATATCGGGGGGGGGCAGGGATGGGGAGGACATAGTGAGTGCAGGTTCTACCGTTACTGTAGCCTCTGAAAACATCATATGGAAATTCCATTGCAACTGGAAAACCAGAGTCATGGGAAGTCAACTTACACCCCTTAAGTTACAGAACAGCCATCAACGAGGAACTCCATTTCTTTTTTTTGCTTTTGTTTTTGAGACGGAGTCTCACTCTGTCGCCCAGGCTGGAGTGTAGTGGCGAGATATCAGCTTACTGCGACCTCCATCTCCCAGGTTCAAGCGATTCTCCTGCCTCAACCTTTCGAATAGCTGGGACTACAGGCATATGCCACCACACCTGGCTAATTTTTGTATTTTTAGTAGAGACGGGGTTTCACCATCTTGGCCAGGCTGGTCTTGAACTCCTGACCTTGTGATCCACCCACCACCTAGGCCTCCCAAAGTGCTGGAATTACAGGCATGAGCCACCATGCCCAGCCACAAATTATTCTTAAACTAAGCAACTTAAAACAACAAACGGTTATGATCTCACAGTTTCTGTGGGTTAGGAATCTAGGGCTTAGTTGGCAGTTCTGCCTCATGGTCTCTCACACAGTTGCAGTTAAGCTGCTGGCTGGTGCTGGCATCATCTGAAGGCTCAATCGGGAAAGGATTTGCTTGCAAGCTCAGTCATGTGATTGTTGGAAGGTGTTATCTCCCTGCTGGCTATTAGCCAGAGACATCTGTTCCTCACAACCTGAGCCTCTCACAGCATGCCTGAGTGTCTCATGACATGACCACTGGTTTCTCCCAGAGTGAACCAAGAGAGAGAGGAAGAGGAGAGAGAGCCCATGACAGAAGCCATAGTCCTTTAAAACCTAATCTCAGGAGTGACATTCCATCATTTCTGCTACATTCTTTTGGTGACAGAGGAAATGCTGATATGGGCATAGGCTATGCAAGGATGTGAATTCCAGGAGGCAGGGACCTTGGGGGCCATCATGGAGGCTTGTTTCAGAAAGGAGAGAAGACGAGGGAGAGCATCATGCAATGAAAAGTTTAGTGATATGACCTGGCTAATGAATGAACAGCTCTTCTATTAATGGGATTAGTGTCTTTCAAAAGTCAACATCTGTGGGCCTTCCCTGTAAAGTCAGGTATTTGGACGAGTATGATCTCTAACTTTTCTAAAGTCTGGGGTATTTGCAATTATAGATTACTGAGGAGAGGGGTAAAGAAGGGGAAGAGAATAGGGAGAGAGAAACTTGAGCCCCATGAAGCAGCCTGAGCCCTGAACCCTGAGCCTGCTCCAGGCTCCAAGCCCCAGACCTAGTGGATTCCACAGCTCCAGGACCAGGCTGGATGCCCAAGTCCTGCCGTTTGCTGAAGGAGGAAATGGGAACAGTGAGCTCTAATTTAATAGCTCCTGCCTTGTTCCCTGAGGTTTCCAGATCTATTTCTGTGCACAAGCCAACAGAAATAAGTGAGGGCACACCGAGCCTGGGGAGAGGGCACTCCTGGTATACAGAGCTGGCACCAGTTTGTGTGTAAAATGATGGGGCTTCCTAATTGCCTAAATGTTTTTCAGAGTGGAGTATAGTCATCCTAGCAACTGCTAGCACCTGAGCAGTTCTTGAGACCATCATTGCTTCTTATTTCACATCCTGCCCAACCCTTGCAGACCCTTCTACCTACTGGTAACTGGGATCTGCTGGACCTCATGGAGCATATTATTCAATGGGCACCAGGGAAACTCGATGTTAAAGTGCTCTTATAATTTTTTTTTTCTTTGAGACAGGGTCTTGCTGTGTTGCCCAGGCTGGAGTGCAGCGGTGCAATCATAGCTCACTGCAGCCTCAAACTCCTGGGCTCAAGCCATCCTCCCACTTCAGCCTCCACCCCCAAATAGCTGGGACTACAGGTGTGTACACTACTATGCTTGGCCAATTTAAAAAAAATTTTTTTTAGAGACAGGGTCTTGTACAAGGCCTAGGCTGGCCTTGTACTGATGGGCTCAAGTGACCCTCCTACCTTGGCCTCCCAAAGTGCTGAGATTACAGGCAGGAGCCACCATACAAGGCTGGAAAAAATCTTTGATGGGGCTGCTTCTGCTCTGGGAGCTGCCTGCTGAAAGAGAAGGACCAGGCTTCACTCAGCCAACTTGCCTTCCTTTCTTTGAGTTCGGCACAGGGAAATACCAGCTCCTCAGAACTGGAGATGCATGGACTTTTGCAGTGTTCAAGGAGAATGGCTTGTTCTCAGAGATGAGTTATCTACTTCAGTAACCATCGTGAGCATTCCGTGGAAGTGCCAAAGTCTTACAATTACCCGTGTAATTTCTTGGCACGTTTGGTGACGCCTGAGTCATCCCAGGAAACATCCTGGGTGTTTATTCTCAAATGCTGAGATTTCATCCTCAAGTTTTGAGCTGCTCCTTCAGGAAAGTTGCCAGTTTTGCAGTTCTCATTATAAAACCATAACCTGTAACTGCCCAGGAAGCCCCCAGCGCTAAGCAGGGAGTGTCTGAGATTGCCAGACTCCAGGCAGATCCCTAAGACCCCTGCAGAACTGAGCTGGGGCAGTGTGGGGTAGGAGGAGTTGGATTCTGTTTGAGTCAAAGAGAGTTAACTGCCAAAATCCTCAGCAAGGTTTCCTTCTGAGAAAAAATGAAGAAGCCTGATTGGAAAGAAAGAGGATTTCTAAACAGCCAGCTAAGATCTGCGGTTGCATCCTGCTACACTGAGAACATCTTAACATTTCAGACACAAGATCGGGGCTGTCTGCTGTCATTTGAACTGGCT